TTTTAATGATTTTATGATAGTTTCTGCATGAGAAATGCCTGAAATCATAAACTTTGAAGGCTGATTTCTCATATATTGTTCTTCAAACAGCTGTACGCTTAAATGCTTGTAACTTCAGAAGGAAACGTCGGATTTGAACGATTTTTTTACCATTTTATAGCTATTATTTTACTGTATTAATAACTCAAAATCCATTTTCGCGACGAGTGACTGGTTTGGCTTGTCTTTACCACAATTGTCATGCAACACACTCATGTCACCTCGGTCCTCGTTGTTGTGTGGTGGAAGTTCGAAATCTTTGTAATTTATACCTTAATCATTGTTCAAAATAGGCTGTAATAAATGAAGCCACGATGGCAGACCTAGAGTACAGGTAGACGATTTTTTTTATTTACCAAAATACAAAGCACATTGCTAAATGCCTGCCTAGTGTAGGCCATGTAGGACCAGACCATTTCACAGCACTAGTTTACTTAAGTTCATTTAATTCACGTACAATATACAGTATTGATTTTCATATATATATATATATATATATATATATATATATATGTAATGAATAAATGTAGTTGGCAATACTAGCAACGTACAGTGCTCTATACACGTGATAATGCAGAGTGTAAATATTGAAAATGTAGAACGTTTGAACGGTGTGTCAGTGAGCCCGATGTAGCATTTTGTGTCATCATTTGAGTGGACAGTGGCTTTGTAGATGATGGATGAGGTGAGGCAATTTCCAGAGAGTGGACATTCATCTTTTTTCTTGCAATTGCAGAGTTTATCTGGCTGTTGTTACTTAGCAACCAGAAGCTGTTTGTTGTGGGCTTTGATTATACTGCCCATGTTTCTTGAGCAGCTATAGCTGACTTTAACATTGTTCTTGTTGAACAGCTTGTTGCACAAAATGTTGCCACACAGAAAATGTTTCTTTACGAGGTTAAGGAATGATTTTCCGATGTTGGTTTTAACTCTTTTGCTGAATGGTGGGTTGTACCAGAATATTTGTCTGCTTCTATTACTCTTTTGGGATTTTGGTTGGGGAGGCTGGTATTCCATTTTGTGCTGGAATCCGCTGTTTTGCAGAGCTTGTTCGTAGTCAGGGGCGGCCTGATTAAATGATTCACTGGAATCCGATATACTGGATATGCGTCTGTTAATTTTGATTTCTAAATTGCGGGAAATGACTTTTCTCGACTTTTGAGCTAGGTGTCTAATGACTTTCTTCTTCAAAATTCAAGGTTTTTCTAGTTATCGTTTTTGTTATTACTATTACTATTGCCGTCGATGCGCCTGTCGCTCTATTATTATGAGCAGAAACACCAGACTGCTAATAAGGTTTATCTTCGCATGGTAGGCTTATATAATATTTACGATTGTGTTTATGGTCTGGTTTGCCTTTGAACTTCTCTTCAATTATTATTTTTTCATTTATACACAGTCTGCACCGATTAGTATTGTATTGACATTGCAGAGGTAAATGAGGCAACCCGAAGATGGCCCAAGTCATGCGAAAGGTAAAACGTTTACATTAAATAAATTGAATAATATAATTATTAAAATTAGGCCAGGTTTAATAAAGCAAAATCTTATTCCAGTGGAGGAGTTAGAGGGGGCGTAAGGGGCGAATGCCACCATTATTTTTTTGTTGTAAAATGTAGTTTTTTGTAAAGCTCATCAGAACTATGCTAAATATTAAAAATCAATCAAAACTAAAATTAAACAAATTAATTATGGTACTAGAGGTTTCATGGGGATTTCCCCTTGCACTTCTACCAGGGGCTTTTCCATTAGACTTTTACTCAGTTCGCACATTCACGCCCCCTCTTTCTTACCGGGCTGGTTCCGCCCCTGATATTCAATTCATAGCATAATGTTAGATAAAATAGGCCTATGTTAGACTTTTATAGCGCCTGGTGCCAACAAGGCATTTAAGCGCTTCACATCCCGCCGTCATTTAATCAACAACCTATAAAGCTCAGCTCCCTGGAATAATGTTATAACGTAATTAGCACCTTATGTGTTTAAACATACCAGGTACCCACTCGAAATGTACAGCGAGGAAATTTAGCATTCGACCTCAATTTTGAGAAACTGCAACCGCTGCGCCAAATCGCTCCTACAGATATATTTGTGCTACAGTTAGCAACATTATATTGTATCTTGTACTGTAGAATATAAAATATGCCTAACAATAAATTACAAAAATGATTAGACGGTGACATTTGGAGTACTATTATATTGCAGTATATTATCTTTGTTTGCCGTCAATAATAATGGATTGTGGAAATGAAATAACACCTGATGATATTTGTAATCTAGGAGGGGCAATTGTAGATGAAACTACGTATTCTTATTTTATTATTTTTATTTTATTTTATTTATTTCCAGGCAAGACAATACAGTACAATAGATGGGAGAAACAAATGACAAAAACAAAAAGCCTGAAAGCGAACTTAATCACTATCTAAAGGCTCTCCAAAACATTAAAAAGACAAACATTAAAATCTGAAAAATTCACAATTCACAATTCGAATTTACTAAGACAACTAGAAACTCTGGAAAGAACAAAATTGACCGAAAGGTAAAACAAAATGCGATGTTACATAATTCGTAAACGAAATCACGAAGAGACACAAATTTAAAAAACATATTTTTTACCTTTTTTTGTGTTTGACATTTTGATTATGTACATCAACGTCTACATTTTCACATTATTGTTAAGAGGGAAACTACGTTATTTAGTTAAAGGCGAGCTGATTGGCCGAGCGGTTAAGACAGGGGAACCGTGACATACAGCCATAATAATCGGCGCTGGTTCGAACAGCACGCTCGCCTGGTTCTGGTGGTGAAACAAGTCTTCTCGGATAAGGACTCTAAATCGTAGGTCCAGTGTACACAATTAGCTCGTGTGCACTTTAAAGAACCCAGTACATCATTTGAGAAGAGTAGGGGGTACCCTGGTGTACTCTGATCCATCTCTTAGTCCGCTGTCCGGCCACAGAAGGAACGCCTACGACGAGGCCCATGTCAGGTATCCATCCTACCTGCTATCCTTCTACCACACTACGTAAGCTAGATCATACACACTAGCTACGTAGTGACTCGATAAGAAGAAGAAGTTAAATTAGCCATAGCGCACAAACCGAGATAATGGAGTTTTCACAAACAGACACAAACTTTCGTTTAGTGGGGTATCAGAAGACAAGAGTGTAACGTTGCAATCTTTGTGATCGAGTAGATAAGGCCTGGCTTTGTTAGGGATAGAAATAACGATTTGATTTACAAACTTTGTAGTCATAGTGGTACAATGGAAAATTGAGTTTTTCAACGGAGCACGTATAGCGGGTAAAATTAGATTTTTCGTTTTCACAAAGAGGCACAAACCACAAACATCTCTGTACGTGTAAACAACCTATGCTGGGTTTATTTTAATCATATTAATGGACAGACACAACACAGTTTAAACATATGTAAGCATATTAGAATGTAATTAAATTGATAGTGAATTTTACGGGTTTATGACTTTAAACGCGTTTTTCTCGAAATATTGTTTTGGTCAAATTTGATCTTTGTGTCTCTTTAAAATGTGATTAACGCATTAGACCATATTCTCTAGAAAAAATTAAGTCTTATATTAGCGGCATAGGCCTATGCATTAAAAACAATATAAATTTGTTTTTTTCTATTAGAGGCATATTTATTATGAAAACCATGGCACCTATGTTATGTATAATTGCCACAACAATTTCTGTACTTACCACCGCCAGAAACTTTACTTAGCTCTATGTCTTACGCAAAACAGATAAAGAAAAAGGAAAACATAAAAAAACGCGTTGTTTTTGCGCAAGCCTGACTAAATCAAAGTCTAAACTATTAAGGGTAGTATTCTCTTTTCAAAGCAGAGGCCACAAGTATAGTTGTATGATGTTTAAAAAGTGCACCTTTAAAACCCATAGAATATACTTCGGTTGAGTCATGTAGTCATCCACCCTAACGTTCGAAGCGACTTTAATAAATACGGCTTCCTAAGTTTCTTTTTTTTGAGTATGTATAAATGGACCATTTAGTCTGAGTCTATATTAATATATATTTCTTAATATTTAAACATGGAAATTTGGGCTTAAACTCTTAAAATCAACTGGCAGTCAATATTTTAATCGATTTGCAGTATCTGTCTAAATGAGTTTGTTTCATTATGTTCAGCATTCTACAGTACATGTCCAGAAATCATAGGAAAAACATATTACAATATTTTTGTTGCAGTGAGTAAAACTGTAGCTTGTTAAATAATGTGAGCCTTCGAATACCAGATTAAAGCAACATTCTTGGATTTTCTTTAAATACTTAAGTAGTACCAAATAATTAAAAACTTAGTTGCATATAGGCAAATCGTATAATTTATTACCATAATTATTGTGTGCTCTTTGTTTGCAGCCAATCATTATGGATTGTGGAAACGAGATATCGCTTGAAGATATTTATAATCTAGGAGGAGTAATCACAGAGAAATGCCACAGTGACTTTTTGGAAACTGCCATTCTGATGGTCTCTAAAGCGGAGAGTAATGTTTTTAAAAATGCAGAAATATCGATTGAGGTACCAGGTCAAAAATACATATTGTATTCCGGTGGTAAATATAACAAATTTTACATCAGCAGCAATTCTGGCAAAGTCGGTTTTGTTCAGACCGCTCAGAATAGTGGTTTTTTCAGCAAAATAACTGGATATGATTGGACAAAAAGTAAATATTTAAAAAGCGATATGGAACAGTCATATTTTCACCCAATATACGAAGGGACACATACTTCATTTTCGACCTAAACAACGTTTTGAGAAAAATGTGTTGAAAACCGTAAATTTCACTATCGAATAAGATATTGACATTGTAAATTTTACTGCATAAAGCTAACACAATGAACAATTAAAATGAAGTGGAGATGTAACTTCTTGGCTAAGAATCTCGCCTTGTAATTTATACTGCCGTGATTCGGAAAAAAGCATTATATCCATTTTTGAGAATTTTGAAATTTTTGGCTTAGGGGCATCCTATGCATGTAATCTATCATGTGAATTGATCATACACTGTACCCCAAAAATGTTTATAAATATGAAATTAATATGAGAGTTACGCACTATATCCATCCACCAAAGCAAAAAAATCCGGAAGAGTGCATTATATCCACCAAGCATTGAAAAGTGAGCAATTAACCAATGATTTTGGCTTATAATACAAAGTTTGTTTTTTAATCAGAGTGCAAATTATTAAAAGAAGGATGTATTAATTTTTATCTTTTAAAGAATAAGTTGCAATATGACCATGACCAAATTGCGGCCATAATATAAATTTTTGTCTGTATATGATGTACCATACCATATTTTAGGGGAAATACAACATTTACGGTACTTAATCAGATCAGACACATTTTGTAAATATTTTATGAGAGTGAATGCAATAATGTTGCTAAATAATATAAAAAAATCCTTTAAGAAACTTTCTATTTTGTTTTGTCTTAAGTTATTTAAACATAATGGAATTTAAGCCTCTAACGTCCTGGTGAAAACTCACTTTAATTTGCTATTTTTTACTAGTCCTTAAGTAAAGAATAATGCATGCATTCTACTGGCAAAACTGGATATAATGCCTAACATTAGATTTTTCATGCTTCATTGGTACATTTACACAAAAAAAAATCAATATAATTCATTTCCATAACAAAAGGCTAACAAGAAACGCGTTTTGTTCAATATCTTAAAACTATGATTTTGGCTTATAATGCGTTCTTCCGAATCACGGCAGAATAGGTCTTGGGTTCAAATCGTGTTACAGGCTTTTTTTTATTACTACTAAAACACATCTATTCCTAAGTACATTAGCTATAGCTTCAAAAAGGGGGAGTGGGGGTAACCTCCCAAAAATAGAAAAGTAGGCCCCAAAAAGTGCAGCAAAAAGTTATTTAATAGAATTTGGTATTACGCGGACAAAATAACATAAAAGTCCAAACACCGGAAAGGCGCTCAAACACCAAAATGGCGCTGAAATCTATAAATATCTACAAAATTGTACAGGACGGTTTTTGTTGTTTATTCTATGGTTTATAAACCAATTATCAATTGTATGCGGCAGTTTGGCGCAGCGGTTGAGGTTTGGGCTTTCAATCATAAGGTCGGGGTTTCGAGTCTCCGCTGTGCAGATTCGTTTATGTCCTTCCTTGCCTTGGGCAAGGCACTTTAGTTACATTGCTTCAGTCCACCCAGCTGTATCAATGGGTACCAGCAAACTGCTGGTGACTAACCTGCGACGGACTAGTGTCACGTTCAGGGGGAGTACAACTCTCATCCGCTTCTCACTAGAGAAACTGGGTATAAGCTCCAGCCCTATGAGCCCCAGTGGCTCGGAAAGGATTTAGTTAGTACTATTAATTAAGACCATTCAAAATGCAGGGTAAAGTACAAAATGTCATACTGAAAGATTTAAGAATTCCATCCCTTGTTAAATTATTGTAATTCTATTTTTATTTTGTCATTTTTGCATGAAGTCGGTTTTGTAACCCAACCGTTTCAGCTTTTGCTGCTGGTTTTGAATCGATGTTTTGATGTTTTAAACCAGAATAAATAAATAAATATATAAATAAATAAATAAATAAATAGATAAATAAGTAAATAAATAAGTATTAACAAAAAACAATAAAAAAACATTAGCCATTACCTCATTTGACTTAATATCCAAGACATTTACACCACTAGATGGGCAAAACTTGACTGATACATAGTTAATTTATATTATTATGGATTTAATTATATATTTGTCTACAAATAATGTTTTTTTTTTCATGATTATGAATATTATCATGTGTTTTTCATTAAACTCGTTCAAAATAGTTACGGAGATATCATGTTTAATCATTTCTTTTGTTACGTTACTCAGAATATTGCACTACACCAGCTTTGCCAATAATATCTTACCAGAAACTGGAAAAAGCTGCTATAGTAATCAATGTAGACATTTTAGGTTATTAATAAATGATTTACTAGGTACAATTTTGGGACTTTCTTGTATCATGACTTAAACTGAGCACTTACTTCGTCATATGAAGTTTGTACGACGGTCACAACGAACCTAAGCCTAGTTTCCTGTCGACGTAAGAAGGCAGATTTACTTACGATTACGTCGTTTTATCGTAAGAAAATGCGATTTGACAGGAAACCGATTGCGACTGGCGCGTTGTGAAATCGACGTAACGTAGGCTAAAATCGTCGCAAAACAGTTTTGGACAGGAAACCGACATATTGAATTTTCATGTGATACGTCGATTTTCCACTATTTGACAGGAAACTGCGATTTAGGTACTTTTTGTTGAATGAACTCGCATACGTTGCGTTGCAAGCGATTCTTATGAAAAGTTGACTCCAAGTCAACTTTTCATAAGAAACGTAAGCGGAAACGTATGCTGTCTGTATATCTTGCCTATACAACAACATTGTTGACGAACTAGAACTCTCATTGACTAACATATTGATAATAAAAAGGTTAAAAAGGAGCATATCCTCCATTTTTGCAAACACAATGAGGCATGTAAAATCTTATAGATTTTGTTAGTCCTATACAAGGTGTCCGACTGGGGTCCTAACTATTTATGGGTGTAACTGAGGGCCGAAGGCCGGATCCGGGGTTGGGTATGGGAGGGGGTGCCCCCTACTCCCAAAACGAGATTAAAAAAAAAATTGGGACTTCTAGATTGCTTGAAATGGCTGGGATACTAGGCCTATTTTTTTCTATTTTTTTTTTTTTTTTTAAAAAATGCAAAAAAACTTATATAATATAAAAATAATATATAAAACATTATAATACAAATAAATAAATAAAATATAAAATATATAGGCCTAATTGCCATTTGGAATATTTTCTGCTAATTTCAATAAACCATTTTTTCAAGTGTATTTCATTCTTAATTTAAATTCCTGTTTATATTAAACAACCCGAACTTTATAATTTTGACATTAAAATCATTTTTTCTGTATAACTACGTATATCTTGAGATGAAATTTTTCTGTCAGTTCAAAACATAATATTAAATAGGTGAAATGAAATATACAAAGTACAATATACTGTAGGCCTAATTGATACTTTGAGAACGAAACACAAAAATCGATAACGAGAAAGTTAGCAAACCAAGATTTGTAGGTCCTTATACCATAGAGAAAATATTTCTCTATGCTTATATTGTACTACAGGACTAGACTATTGTTTAAAACGAACAGTGAAAATTTTCCTCGAATTTCGCCAGGTTATTTTAATGAGGAAACCAGAGAGGAAGTGAAAGATGTTAACATATCGCAGTCGCAAAGAAAAATTCAACTTGACGTAACATGCATGTGACGACGTTAGGAGAGGCTTTGCTGTTCGAGCTTGAACAATTCAACTTGTCGTAAGAATCGTTACCGGCTTATTTTGTATGCGGCCCAGCACGATCAAGACGCTTCTGTTTTTGTCCAACTTCGCGTAACAGTCGTAAGAATCGTATGAATCGTAAGAAATTCTGAACTGAAATTCTTTACTTTACAGGAAACCAGGCTTAATTCCGTTCCCTATGACAGATAGACGATGCGATGCCGCTTGCTGATTTGAACAAACCATCATTAAAAAGGATCCGTTGCGCGAATGTAGTTGCTTTGCAACTACATTCTACACACTACACACTTGCATAGAATCACGTCGCTGTGATTGCCAGTCTCAACACAACAGAAAGAAAATGTCACTGCAACACTAAGAATGTATCAAATTACAGTAGCCTACATTATTGAAGTCCTAATTGAAATCATGATAATTTCATATATGATTACATTGAAAAAATGCCCTTTTATCAGAAATTATCCGCTTCTCTTTTTTTTTAATTTTTTTTGTTAGAAATAATTGTTTTGAATGCACCCCACTGTAGCAATTTACTATTAGTTATTGTTTTAACTAAATAACAATTATCAAGAAATTGTTAATTTGATATATCCTGTACCTACAAAATAATTTTTTGTTGAAATAAATATTATTTTGACTATTTTACATAGGAATCAAATAAATTTATAAAAGACTGAACATAGGTACTGGTGATAAATCAATTATTATGGGTAAAAGTAAAATCAACTGTACAACAAACGCGCGCACGTAAGCTATTAAAGCGAACGAAAATTTATTATTTCATAAATCACATGGGATGCTCTCAATAGGTCTATAACATGTAATTAAATAATAGTAATCAAGCTAAAAAGTATCAATTGGTAAGGAATAGTTAGAAAAATATCAAAGTTAAGTTAAAAAACTTGAAACGATTAAAGCCTAATGACAAGAGAAAGAATGTGACGTTGACCTATGCCAGTCAAAATAAGAATGATTTCTCAATCGAACGCCCGTAAAATTGTGAAGCGAACACGAGGTTAGTAATTCAGAAAATCATAATGGGATGCTCTGAATAAGGTCAAAGGTGGGTCTCACGTAAGGACAGCAGACCAGCAGCCTTACTAAATGCAAGTTTTGCTGTTGACCCTTTACTTAACAGACCGCGCTGTAACTTATGACACAGAAAAATGTACTAATAGCCTGTGTAATACCCCAAGAAGTACCTTGTAATTTGTATGTGGAAGAGCATACGCTGATATCTATAATACTCTAAGAAGAACTCAGTATATGACATGTGGTAGAGCATGCGCTGATATATAAATTTGTATATAAACAAATCCTTAAATTATTTAGGCCTATGTACTGTACCAATCTATCAGTAAGAAATTAATTTAAATTTACATAACATATACATATAACAGCAGTAAAATGCAATTAGATAAAAACTAGTTACAATATACAACAAAAACACAAACAAAAATTGGCAATAACCACAAGAAAAAAAAAAAACGAGAAAATTTACCGCAAATTCTAAGATTTCAATATTTATAAAAATTAGGAAATTTATTCATAAAATAAATAAATAAATCAGTGAAAAAAATTAATATTTTTTAAAGAATTCAGTTAATCAGCATTAAAAACAGTAACAGCATACTCTAGAACTGGCCGAACAGTGCTCAAATAGACAGTGACCAGGTCATCGATAGTTAGCCCTTATCCTTTTACAGATCATAAATATATACAATTTGCTATTGGCCCTTAAAACACTGGTTTCCAATTTCAAGTTTGCCTAAATATACACACCAGTGTACCAGTTTTACAACCTGGTACACTTCAAATGCATGATTATCAATAGTGTTGTAGGTAAAGAAGGTGAATTAGGCTAGCACACATCCATTACAAAGCACTTGTTTTGCATTCGGTTGCATTCAAGAATTTTTAGACCAATCAACAAGTCTATCTACACATGTTTGTAAATATCAGTTTTCATTTACTTGATCCTTAACTCAACCAGAGTTAAATCATCAACATTATATTGATCAGTACAATTAGAATTTTCACATGCTTTAACATTATTAACTGTAGTATTAAAAACAATAGTGCCAAGTTTGGTTCTTTGAACAACACCTGCGTTAATGATGTGTTTATTAGAAAGTTTATTATTAACTTGTAGTTTACGATTCGATACACTCGAACACACTTCCATCTCCAGCAATCTCTCAACAGCAATTTTGTGATTAACCAAATAAAAATGTTTTTGAGAAATATGTTAATACAACATTTGAAATTGAACCATGTTTGGGATCAAGTTGCTTCATAATAAATGAGAGAGCGCTTAGCGCAACAAAATACTAAGCTATTTTGGCGAAGTGATCAGTCAAAGCTATTGGCCTGATGATCTCTATAGTGAACGGTTCATCATTTAATCCCAGTATTGCTACAACATGAGCGCGTTTTCATTCATGTGGGACTTCACTTGCGGTATGAAGCATTAGTGACATTACAGAGAGTTCCAGCAATTTCCGGACCGAAGCTTTTCAAAACCTTGTCTACGAAACCATCTGAACCACTAGATCTAGTGAGCTTAAGTTTATTTTTTACAACCAAAACATCCCATAGTTGAAGTTGTCTCACTTTATCGTTTGGTAAGAACGCTGGAAGGCAACTCCTGTCTGGAGCTGGTACGTTTTTGTTGATATTAGTAAAGTGACTATACACTGAATTTGAAATGGCACTAGCATCGCTAGGGTCATAATTTGGTACAATTTTTTTTGTTGAAATAACCTTTCATGTATTTATTGAATTTATTGAACTCAGCTGGGTAAGACTTTTTTAGATGTTGCAATCAAAT